CACTGCGATAGGGTGTGAACCTTAGTCCGCTGCGATTGGGTGTGGACCTTAATCCACTGCATTAGAGTGGACCTTATTCCACTGCATTAGTGGACCTTATTCCGCTGTCTGGGTGTGGAACTTAGTCCCCTGCTTTAGGGTGTGGACCTTAATCCACTGCGATTGGGTGTGGACCTTAATCCACTGCGATTGGGTGTGGACTTTAATCCACTGCATTAGAGTGGACCTTATTCCACTGCATTAGAGTGGACCTTATTCTGCTGTCTGGGTGTGGAACTTAGTCCCCTGCTTTAGGGTGTGGACCTTAGTCCACTGCGATTGGGTGTGAACCTTAGTCCATTGTGGGTGTGGACCTTAGTCCACTGTGTTTGGGTGTGGACCTTAGTCCACTGTGTTTGGGTGTGGAACATAGTCCACTGTGTTTGGGTGTGGACCTTAGTCCACTGCATTAGGGTGTGGACCTTAGTCCACTGTCTTTGGCTGTGGACCCTAGTCCACTATCTTTGGGTGTGGACCTTAGACCACTGTGTTTGGTTGTGGACCTTAGTCCACTGCGTTAGGGTGTGGATTTCAGTCCACTGTGTTCGGGTGTGGATTTTATTCCGCTGTGTATGGGTATGGATCTTAGTCCACGGCGTTAGGGTTTGGACTTTAGTCCACTGTATTAGGGGTGTGGACTTTAGTCCACTGTGTTTGGGTGTGGATTTTATTCCGCTTTCAGGGTGTGGACTTTTGTCCACTGCGTTAGGGTGTAGACCATAGTCCACTGTGTTGAAGTGTGGATCTTAGTCCACTGTGTTGAACTGTGGATCTTAATCCACTGTGTTCGTATGGACCTTACTCCACTGTTCATGTGGATCTTAGTCCATTGTGTTCGTGTGGACCTTACTCCACTGTTCATGTGGATCTTAGTCCCCTGTTAGTGTGGATCTTCGTCCACTGTTCCTATGAACCTTGGTTCACTGCTTTAGAGTGGACACTACCTGAGTGGTACTCACTCAAAGCATTCAGTTGAGCAGCTGAATGCTATGGACTTGGTCCATAAACTATATATCGAACTGTCAGTAATATTATTGGACTTTGTCCAGTATTATTGCTTTGTGTTCCATATATACTCCAATTCATATATCGGACTGTTTGCAATGTTATTGGATTGTGTCCAATAATATTACATTGTGTCCCCTATATACCTGATTTCATATATCGGACTATTTGCAATATTATTTATTGGACTTTGTCCACTGTTATTGCATTGTCCTATATATACTTCAATTCATATATCGGACTGTCTGCATTATTACTGGACTTGTCCAGTAATATTGCATTGTGTCCTATATATCGATTCATCCTTCCTAGCATACACACTTCATAGTATTTCGTTGTATCGACTTTGTTTAAACATCATAATTGGTAATTTCCAAATTTTGATGTCAACACAAGGTTGTTATAGCGTAAGTTATGTAGTGTTTGCTGGGGTTTCCCTTCAACCTTGTTTCCCTCACCCTAAACTCTCGTGCCGCTCCCTCCGGGAGCTGGCCGGCAGCATATCACCTTCGGCCTCTTGTCCTGGCTGTTGGTGAGCGATTTCTGGTGGTAACCTAGCTGCCACTGGTAATCAACCAAAGTAACCTTCGATGCATGGTTTAGGGTTCCATGTAACAAAGGTTCTGAGAACCTTTGGACGATTAACCCTGGCCCGGCTCGAAGATCGCAGACCTCATCGTGGTGAGCCGGTGTAACTTGATGCAGCATTTATCTGGTAGTATGTATGAGCATGTCTTGAATATCCTTATGCATAGTTACCAGATAAATGATACTTCAAGGCTAACATGCGATCCTCCAGTTAAGAGAACACTAATAAAATCACAAAAAAATCATTGATCGTTTTTATAGCCTAAATAATCTGATGAATTTAAAGGTTAATGAGGCATCCGGGTATTGCTCTTACACCAAGCGCCCTCAAATTAGCTCTGGTGTTCACTATGATGATGCAGAGCTGTATGACACTGTTTAGCGCTCTGACCATTGTGGGTTTAGAGCTCTATGACCCTTGTGGGTTTAGAGCTCTATGACCCTTGTGGGTTTAGTGCTCTAACCCTTGTGGGTTTAGTGCTCTAACCCTTGTGGGTTTAGTGCTCTAACCCTTGTGGGTTTAGTGCCCTGTCCCATCTGGGTTTAGTGCTCTATGACCCTTGTGGGTTTAGTGCTCGATGACCCTTGTGGGTTTAGTGCTCTATGACCCTTGTGGGTTTAATGCTCTATGACCCTTGTGGGTTTAGTGCTCTATGACCCTTGTGGGTTTAGTGCTCTATGACCCCTGTGGTTTTAGTGCTCTATGACCCTTATGGGTTGAGCGCTTGATTCCGATTGTAGAAACTGGGGCTGTGGTGTTCACAGCTCTAGCTCTGGGGCTGTAGTGTCCACAGCTCTACCTTGGGGCTATAGTGTCCACAACTCTAGCTCAGGGGCTGTAGTGTCCACAGCTCTAGCTTTAGGGCTGTAGTGTCCACAGCTCTAGCTCTAGGGCTGTAGTGTCCACAGCTCTAGCTTTGGGGCTGTAGTGTCCGCATCTCTAGCTCTGGGGCTATAGTGTCCACAGCTCTAGTTCTGGGGCTGTAGTGTCCACAGCTCTAACTCTGGGGCTGTGGTATTCCTATGGTTCCAGATAATTATTGATATCCTGGCGAGTGGAAACACAGTACTGATTCCAGTTATCTGGAAAAACCTGGGATAATTAAATAAGACATTGCAGCAGAGAATCCAACAGATATGATTATGGAAAAGAGATACTAAATGGATGAGAGGGAAGAAAAAGAAGGTAGTAGCAGCATGATGAGAGAGAAAAGTGGAGAGATAAAGACAGCAGCAGCAAAAGAAGAAAATTATGCAAGTGGCCATAGAAAATAAATGGGGGAAACAAGTGTAGAAAGGGATAGATTTACAAAAAGGGAAAATGGGAGATAAGAAGCGAGAAGGAAAGAGAGATACACAATAACCCGTACATAGGAGACAGACCCCTGGCAGTCTTCAAGCTGGCACTGGACAAGCACCTAAAGTCAGTTCCTGATCAGCCGGGCTGTGGCTCGTACGTTGGTTTGCGTGCAGCCAGCAGCAACAGCCTGGTTGATCAGGCGCTGATCCACCAGGAGGCCTGGTCACAGACCGGGCCGCGGGGGCGTTGACCCCCGGAACTCTCTCCAGGTAAACTCCAGAGGAACTTACGACGACGTTTCGGTCCGGTTTGAGCCATTTATAAAGTCACACTAATAGAAAATAGTGAGGGAGCCAGTACCTGCGGGGTCCATAAGAACAAAAAAGGCACAATATTGTGACTGGAGCAATATACAGCAAGTAGTAGGGAGGAAGATAGGTACTGGTACTACGCAACGTGAAAGATATGTTAGTAAACATAGTTCTTGCTGTAACATTGTAAAATGGAGAATCATTGACAGCCACACACTAGCGCATGTAATTTTCATAACCAGATTAATTTTAGTTGCTAAGCGATCCAAGAGAGGTATCCCCCGTATCCCATAAGCTTCAATGAATGTGTCTGTTATTATGTATCCATCTATACACACACACACACACACACACACATATTTTATATATATATATATATATATATATATATATATTATATATATATATATATATATATAAAATATATATATATATATAATATATATATTATATATGATAACCAATGTTTAAGCTCAACTCAATCAATGCAGCGCTGTATGACCCTTGTGGGTTTAGCGCTTAGTTTTGATTGCAATAATCAGCCAACTCAAAGACTATTTTGTACTGTGATGAGAATGTAGATGTCCGTAGAATTATATATTTTTTATAGAGCTAATATAAATATTTTTTTTACAGTGACATGGTCTAGGATATATCCTAGCCTTATTGACCCGCGTGTAGTAGATAGGCTTTAACCCTATTAAACTATCATCCTGCAGTGAACAGCTGTGAAGAGGAATATACGTGCCTCCAATGCCTCGTTATCAGCAGCAGGGAGATTGATATCACAAGTGATGGTTGACTTCACAAGTGTTTGTTGACATCACAAGTGTTTGTTGATATCACAAGTAATGGCTGATCTCATGTGATTGAATTACTATTTGATGTAGTAGGTGTGTATCTTATCAGCAACAAGGTGTATATACACTGATAGACATCTCTCGATGTATGTGCACTGATACACACCTCTCTATGTATATACAGGGTGTTTCAAAAAGATGGACCCGATTTGAAATGGCTGTATCTGCAACCATGAACCTCCCATGGGGATACATGCCTCTCAGTGTACACACACCGAGAGTTACACACCTTTGTACATACACAGATACACACTTCTGTACATACACAGATACACACCTCAGTGTACATACACAGATACACACCTCAGTGTACATACACAGATACACACGTCAGTGTACATACACAGATACACACCTCAGTGTATATACACAGATACACACCTCAGTGTATATACACAGATACACACCTCAGTGTACATACACAGATACACACCTCAGTGTACATACACAGATACACACCTCAGTGTATATACACAGATACACACCTCAGTGTACATACACAGATACACACCTCAGTGTACATACACAGATACACACAGTGTACATACACAGATACACACCTCAGTGTATATACACAGATACACACCTCAGTGTACATACACAGATACACACCTCAGTGTACATACACAGATACACACCTCAGTGTACATACACAGATACACACCTCAGTGTACATACACAGATACACACCTCAGTGTACATACACAGATACACACCTCAGTGTACATACACAGATACACACCTCAGTGTACATACACAGATACACACCTCAGTGTACATATACAGATACACACCTCAGTGTACATACACAGATACACACCTCAGTGTACATATACAGAAAAAAACACTTTTCGGCGTACACAGGCTTTGATATCACGGGAGAATAAAAAACACACAAGTTTTCCATCATTATAATAACCAACTTACTAATAAAATTCTTAATACAAGCCTTCAGTGTATACATTCATACTGTAGATTATTACTAACGTTTAGTCTAAAGTATTTTCACATAAGGTTTAAATGTTCATTTTCAGATATGAGAACTTTTGCTTCAAACACTTTGCAAGTAACAGGTTAACTTATTAAAACTTAATTGGTAATAAGGGTAGGTTTTATTTTAGGTGATTTAGCGCAAAATGTTAGTTTACTCAGTTGGGTATGGGCATTGATCAAGGGGGACACAACAGTTTACTCATGAAGTTGTGGGTATGGGCACTGATCAAGGGGACACATAACAATTTATTCATGAAGTGGTGGGTATGGGCACTGATCAAGGGGACACATAACAGTTTATTCATGAAGTGGGTATGGGCAATGATCAAGGGGGACACATAGCAGTTTACTCATGAAGTGGGTATGGGCACTGATCAAGGGGACACATAACAGTTTACTCATAAGGTGGGTATGGACACTGATCAAGGGGATACATAACAGTTTATTCATGAAGTGGGACTGGGCACTGATCAAGGGGACACATAACAGTTTACTCATGAGGTGGATATGGGCACTGATCAAGGGGGACACATAACAATTTATTCATGAAGTGGGTATGGGCACTGAGAGAGGATGACACATAATATACGGTCTGGATCAATCACTTTATTGTTAATACACATAGTAGTTGGCACTTCATTACCTATATCAGCAGATGTACAAACGTAGTAGTGAGAATCACACCTGTTTGTACATTTGGGGAAGTAGCCCACTTCATAACAAGTGAAGGATTCTCTGCAGTTGGGAGGTTCGATTGTAGTTATGGTAGAAGTTGTGGTGCTGGTAGTTGTTGTGGTGCTGGTAGTTGTTTTGGTAGTTATGGGAGGGGTAGTAGTTGTCCTGTTAGCTCCTCCATCTGTGCAAGATGGTCCACATGGAGCGTCTGTTGAACAAACACCCTCAATTTCATCAAAATTACCCACATCACAGTGATATAAGTTTGACTCGTCTGGGTAACCCTTAACATCACAAAAATAAAAGTTGGTGCAGTTGGTTGGGTCAGGGATCTCTATGTTGGCATCTGGGCAATATGTTAAACACGAGTCACAACACTCAGACGCATTAGCAGTGCATTCAATCCCGTTGAAATAGGGAGTATCTTCCGAACACGAGACTAATACTGGTTCATGATTTGGTGCACATATATAGTAGGAGCTACAGTTATAGCGGTCTGCCACTGTTACTACTACATCAGTAGTAGCCGGACAAGAAAATTTGCATGGAGGATCACATAAAGCACATAGAGCTTGAGCTTCAGTTACGCAAGCCTTTGAAACATCATCAAACAATTCATCTTTAGGACATTCTACTGTAAAATCAGACACTTCCCCATCTGCTAAACAAATATAATAATTTCGACAGTTTGTTGGATTAGTGATGTTCTCGCCTATCAAGGAACTGTCACAGGTTGGTGTACAGCTGGTCAGAGGAGCCTCCACTCTTACCACTACAGCCTGAAAGAAAACACAAATTTACTGCTAGGAAAAGTAGTATAAATGAAGTAAAGTAACCTGTATCTCAGTGATAAAAGCGCTTGGCTCACAACAGCAGGTACCAGAGTTCGATTTCCAGGAAGGGTGAGACATACGGGCAGGTTTCCTTACATCTGCTCATGTTTACTTATTACTAAATACATATCTGGGTGTTGACTGTTGTGGGTAGCATCTTAGGGGGTTGTAACATACCACATAGAGATGTACTTTTTAAATAAGCCAAGATAAAATTACAGCAGTGACATAAAACTGACAAGTATCCCGCTGGGCAAATTTAAAATATTAAAAAATTCAAAGAAGTTCTGACTGACATGAGATTTAAAAATGCGACCAACGGTAAGAGACAGATATTCAGCCATTTTGACAGTGTATAAGCCACAGAATTGACAGTACTTGTGGAAAATATCGCATGAATTTTTCAAAAGCGTTATAGCGACCTCTCATGTGGAAAATACTGTATATATTTTCCGGAAATACGGTAATTTATATGTAAATAGATGGCCATACTGTATTTAATAATATTTATGTCATAGAAAACGGAAAGCCTGCGTCTGCGCAAACGAGACTCGCCATCTTGATTTTAAATTTTGTTCAAACGTTGGAGTAATGGGAAGAATTTTTCGTGCTCTAGAGGTTAAAATTGTGCTGACACCTCTCAAATAGGAGGCGAAATTGGTGGATGTGCATTCCTGCATAACTTGAGATATCAGAAGACTGGACAAGACAGCATCAGGAACCTCAGATAAGCTCTCTAGATTTGTGTGTAATTCTGGCCAGCATTATTTTCATAGATTTAGTTAGAGTGAGGTTTTCTGAGTATGATACACATTAATCTCCAGTCAAATTGGTGAGTGATATTAAGATATATTTTCCTTCTGTTATGTAATTGTGTGTATATATATATATATATATATATATATATATATATATATAATATATATATATATATATAACCATTTATTATTTTTAATATACAGTCCACAAATTTATATATTTACCAGTACTCCTGGTGCATGTATATTTCATTTAATTAATAGGTCAAGAGCAACTTGTGGTTATGAAAGTGGTAGGTATCGAGGGGGGACATTTTTTGCGACCTAGGTGTCCCAAATTCCTACTTGTCTATGTAACATTGATAAATAATAATTATCTTTGTTATCATTTACTGTTATGTACATAATTAGTTACATTCAGATAAATGCAATTTTCCACATTTAATTTACCCGTTGGTCCTTCTTGAACCGGAGCTAATTAGTGAAGTCATTAATTAGTTAATTACTTAATAATTATATGTGAAATAACAGAAGGAGGTGGATGTTAAGTTCACAAATTTACTTAATTTATAGTGGATTATAATTATTACAATATTAATTTGGATAAGCTAAACTCAAGGGTGGCTAAAGATTATATTAATGTGTATAAGTGTATGTGTAATTGATAAGCCAAGTGTAGCTAATTATATTAATGTGTATAATAATTTTGCAAAGCCAAAGCGGCTAGGATTTATATTAATGTATTTGTATAATATTAATTTGATAAGATAATTCTGGCCAAGATTTATATCAGTGTATGTGTAATTGATAAGCCAAGTGTAACTAATATTAATGTATATAATATTAATTTTGCTATGCGAAATTCTGGCAAGGATTTATTAATTTGTATAATATTAATTTTGATGAGCCAAGTTTGTATTAATGTACATTTAAAATTTATATTATACATTTAATTGCTAAGCTCAAGTAGCTAGGATTTATTCAAAGGTAAGTTGTATCAGTGTTGTAAGTTGTAATCAGTGTTATTAATAAAGTTGAATTTAATACATTGCATCATGGCTGAAAATGAGGAAATTAATGTAGAAGACAAACATATGGAATATAGAGTAAAGAAAGCACCGCAAGCTCAAAAAAAAGGCATGTAACAAAAACATACAATAAATGTTTGGAATTAATGAATCAAGAAACTGTGAATACTGATGATTTAAAATTGTATTTAGATGCTTTAAGTAATAGATATGATTCATACAAATTATATTACAACAAATATGAAGGAGATTTGTTAGTAAACTGTGTAGATGAGACTGAAGTAGATCTTATGATTAATCAGTATTATGAATTAGAGGAAAAGATTCTTTCTTGTAAAAGTCAGGCCTTGAATAAATTCAAATGTGTAAACCAGGCAGTTAATCAGTCCTCTCCAACAAATAATATGTCTTTGCCAAAACTCCCAGAACTATGTTTACCTGTATTTAATCCTGGTGAAAATTGGGAGGAATTTTGGTCAATTTTTAAAGCAGCTGTGCATGACAGGAGTGACCTAGCCTGTGTAACTAAATTATTTTACCTCAAAGGACAGGTAAGAGGAGATGCTCACATACTCATACAAGCCTTTCCCAATGTAGATGACTCTTACAAGGAAGCAGTTGACTTGTTGAAGGTCACTTATGGTAATATAGAACAAAGTAGGTTGGATCTAGTGAATATCATTATTAATTTAAAATCTCCAGATAACACTTACAAAGGTTTACAGCAGTTTAGAGTTAAACTGGAGAGCACTCTCAAAACTTTAAGTAATAAATATAATCTGAAGGAATCAGACTGGTTATTGAGTGCCATAGTACAGAATAAATTCAGCTGTAAAATACTTGACTGGATCTCGAACAAATATCACAAGAGTTATTTTGGTCTGGAGGAAATAAGACTAGGTCTACAAGAATTAATTGTGCAGTTGCAGACCAGCCAACTAACTCATTTTAAAGATGCAACACATAATAACTCTGAGGTATCTGTCAAGTTTCACAAAGGGAAAAATTATCCCAATAGTAATAATCAAAATTCATTTCCTAAAAAGAGTTGCATAGGTGCATATCAAGTAGCAGGAATCAGAAATAATGATTCTCCACAAGGTAAGAAGAATAAGTACCCTCCTAATTGTAGCACAGTTAATAGGAAACCAGTCAAAGAAAAGGGAGATTGCCTGTTCTGCAAGGGTACTCATTTTTCTAAGAATTGCAATGCATATAATTCATGGAATGATAGTTGAAAGATTGGAGGAACTTGACAGATGTATCAGGTGTTTGGGTAATCACAATGTAAAGGATTGTTATGCCAAATTAAACTTCTGTTATCAATGTCACAAAGGAAGACACCATATAGTCATGTGTAAGGGTCTATATGATAATGTTGATAATATTGATAATGTTGACAATCCTGACACAACAGTAGCTAATGTAAAAATTGCTGCTAATGTTAATAATGATGGTTTTACTGAAGTAGCCTTACCTGTGTTACAGGTAAAAATTGATGATAAAAGGCATAAATCAAAAAATGTTACTGCATTATTGGACCAGGGATCCCAGCGTACTTTCATAAAACGTAAATGTCTTGATGGTATGAAAGTACAGATGGGAGATCCCACAACTTTAAAATTATCTGGTTTTCTCTCGGATAAAAGGGCTCATTTGTATGACACTGTTTATGTAACTGTCAGGTTAGGCAATGAGAAAAAAGGTGTTAATGCAGTAATTGTAGATAGACTTCCAGAGGAAATATCTACAGTAGGACTTAGTAAAGCTACAGAAAGACTCTCACATAATGTGAATTTAGCACCTTCTGGTGTAAGTGATGATTCTGTAGGCCCAATAAATATTTTGATAGGTAGTGACTATTATGCCTCCTTTGTAAAGGGTATGGTAAAGAAATGTGGTGTCACCCTTTTGAAGACTGCAGGAGGCCATGTAATGTATGGTAGGATTCCTCGTAATAATAATTCATGACTAGAGGACACTACAAATATCATAACTGTGTGTTTTACTCATGAAATCGTACCCCAGTATAATTCTTCCATAGAGGATGGTGTTGAGCCAGTGCATAAATTGTGGGAATTAGACAGCATTGGAATAAATGTAAATGAAGAAAGTCCGGATGATTCTTTTACTCAGGAGCAATACCTGAGAGATGTAAAATTTGAATCTGGACAATACTGGGTACGACTTCCGTGGAGACTGAACCATCCAGAATTGCCCACTAATTACAGAATGGCATATGGACAATTAAAGGCTCAGCTCCGCGAACTGAGTAAGACACCAGAATTGTTAACTGCCTATAATGATATAATTGCTGACCAGTTAATTAATAAATTTATAGAAGAGGTACCTCCTGAGCAAGCCAAAATTTATGGTCACTATTTGCCACATCACGGAGTGAAGAAGGATTCTAAGACCACTCCTTTGAGGATTGTGTTTAATTGTAGTGCCAGGAGTAACAAAAATGTACCTAGTTTAAATGACTGTTTGATGACAGGTCCGTCGTTGACGGAAAAATTAGGAGATATCTTATTAAATTTCAGGATGAAAAATTATGCCTTTACGGCTGACATAAGTAAAGCTTTCCTAAGAGTGGGTTTACAAGAGGCTGACCGGGATTGTACCCGCTTCTTATGGCCTGAGAATCCTAGTGACCCACTTAGCCCTCTGAAAACCTTTCGCTTTAGGAGCGTATTATTTGGTGCTACATCCAGTCCGTTCCTACTTCAAGCGACGATAAATGCACACCTTAAACGTATGGAAAGTCCATTGAGTAAAGTAATGAGTAAACAATTTTATGTGGACAGTTTCCTGGGTGTGACGTCAACTGAAGAGGAACTGTTAATGACTTATGGAGAGGCTAATAAAATAATGCAAAGTGCAAATATGCCTCTGAGGGAATGGAGTAGTAATTTGTCCAAATTAAAGGACAAAATAAGTAAAGATTACCCTGGAGATGAAGTGCCAAAATGTAGTAATGTATTGGGTTTAACTTGGGATACTTAGAGAGATTTGTTAATGTTAAAACCTAATAATTACAGTATGCCCAATAAATTAACTAAGAGAGTTTTGCTTGCTGAAGTTTCCAAATGTTTTGATCCACTAGGTTTAGTGTCACCCCTTACTATAAGAGGGAAATTATTAATACAGGAAGCATGGAAACTTAAATATGCTTGAGATGAAATTCTACCTGAGGAATTCATTAACAGGTGGGATGAATTAATTGGTGATTATGAGAAAATTCCAATGTTGGAGTTCCTACGCCAGGTGGTCAATCCAAATGGGAAAAATGTGCTCCACATTTTTTGTGATGCTTCAAAATTGGCATATGGAGCAGTTGCTTACCTTCAATGTAATAGTGTTATTTCTCTTGTTATGTCTAAGGCTAAAGTGTCTCCAATTAAATCACATACCTTACCTCAGTTGGAATTAACAGCCATTTATGTAGGTGTCAAATTAGCTAATTATATAAGAAATAAGTTGCAGGAGATAAATATTAGCGACACTGTAATTTGGTCTGATAATGAGGTATTCTTACAATGGATTCGTAATGGAAACAGTAAAATTGTGTACGTACAAAACAGAATCACTGAAATTAATCAGATGCAAGAGAAGTATAATAGTTTGGGTCAGCATATGTTAACATTTAATCATATACCTGGTGAGGAGAATCCAGCTGATTTCTTGTCTCGAGGTTTACCTTATGCTAAATTTGTAAATGCTGTATCATGGTTTAAAAGACCGAGTTGGTTGGTAAATAAAGCTAATTGGCCTGTACAAAAGGCGTATATTGCTCCTGTTGAAATTACTGTGACCACCGCTCCAATAGTTTGTCCTCCCTTAGCCATTGATATAAATAGGTATTCTTCTTTACCCAAACTAATTAATGTAACTAAGTTGGTGTTTAAATTTCTAAACAAGATGAATATATCATATAAGTTTTCACATCCTCTTGAATATTGGATAAAGAGGGCGCAGGAAGAAATCTATGGAAATGAGATTAAATTGATGATGGAAAGAAAAATTGTGAAAGGTTCCATAATAGAGAAATTGGGGCTGTATTTAGAGAACAGTGTAATTAGGTGCAGAGGTAGGTTACAAAATGCTGAATTGGGTGATTATGCTAAACACCCTATCTTACTGCCCAAAACCCATCATCTAACAAATTTGATTGTTCTAAATGCCCATAAAAATGTAATGCATGGTGGGGTACAAGATACCTTAAATTGTATTAGGGAAACTTTCTGGATTCCACAAGGACGGCAAAGTGTGAAAAGGGTGATTAAGTCTTGTGTAATATGTCGCCTTGTGGATGCCAGATCCTATATGTACCCAGGTCCTCCACCGTTGCCAAATCAGCAATTTGAGTCGTTTTGCAACGACCTCCGCCTGGCCGCAGTGTGGAAAATACTGTATATTTTCCGGAAATACGGTAATTTATATGTAAATAGATGCCCTATATTGTATTTTTAAAAGAAGTATGTTATCGAAAATGGGAAACTGGAAGCTGCGCCTGCGCAGAAAGGGGGGACTCTCTGTCTTGATTTTGAATTGAACAGAACGTTAGAGTGAATGGGAAGAATTTTTCGTGCTCTAGAGGTTAAAATTGGGCTGACGCCTCTCAAATAGGAGGCGAAATTGTTGGATGTGCATTCCTGCATAATTTGAGTATCAGGCGACTGGACAACACAGCTCCAGGAACCTCAGATAAGTCTGTTTATGTTTAATTCTGGCCAGTAATTTCATAAATTTAGACAGGTTTTCTGGGTATAATACACATTAATCTCCAGTCAAATTGGTGAGTGATATTAAGATATATTTTCCTTCTGTTATGTAATTGTGTATATATATATATAACCATTTATTATTTTTAATATACAGTCCACAAATTTATATATTTACCAGTAATCCTGGTGATGTATTTTTCATTTGATAATTAATAGGTCCAGAGCAACTTGTGGATATGACAGTGGTAGGTATCGAAGGGGGACATTTTTGCGACCTAGGCGTCCCAAATTCCTACTTGTCTATGTAACTCTGATAAATAATAATTATCTTTGTTATCATTTACTGTTATGTACATAATGAGTTACATTCAGATAAATGCAATTTTCCACAATAACTATCTTAGAGTTCACATTACTTACCGTGATCCGCGAGTTTGGACAGCAAATAATTATCAAAGAGATCTTAGAAAGCAACCCACCATCATACCACGAATGAACGATGCTTGACCACCGATTGTGTAGGCATTAATCCCGTTTTATCTATTTTTGCCCACCAAATAAGCGTGTTGGAAATCGACAGGCCACAGCTTTAGGGACAGACTCATTTCCAGAAGGGTTACAGGTCTCCATTTACTGTTAACGCATAGCAACAGCCATGTTCAGCTGATCTTTACAAACCTGGGCCCCCTAGCAGGTTTATTTAGGCACAGATACACATAAGTACAAGTATTGTACATGGTGTAAATTACCTAGGATAACGTCTCTACCACATGAAGGATTCTACCATCAGAAGAAATAATTGCTTTAAATCTTCTGTGCCATATTATGTAATAAAATATTCCTATTGGTAAAAAAAAATAGTCTAGGGATAATCTCCGCCTTCTGTTTTATGTTGCCAAATAGTCAGTTATTATATTAGAAAGAATAATGCAAGAAAAAGCGATAAAAAACAAGGAAAAATTTCCAAAATATATATGGGCTGTGAGCAGACTCCCCCTCAAGGAAGGTTCCTTGATGTTGGTGAGGGGCTCTTGATTTAGGGAATTGGATCTGTGCTCCAGTTCCCAAATTAAGCCTGAATGCCTTCCACATCCCCACCCCAGGCGCTGTATAATCCTCCGGGTTTAGCGCTTCCCCCTTGATTATAATAATGTGAGCAGACTCGCTACCAATATCACCGTCACCTTACCTCATATAAATGACTATAATTTCTTGTAGAAACGTCGTAGAACATTCATTCTGGTACCATTGTGTTGCTAAAGAGTTAAGCTATTTTTCGGTATATATAACTCAACTTCCATAATTTTTCGATTTTTGGTTGAACGCGCGCGGAAATTGCCCGAGGGCCCCCTTAATAGCTGGCTCGAATGAGCGATAATTGATTCGTTCTATCTGTTGTACAAGATAAAATTGAGAATTTATACTGACCAGGAACAGGAGGAGGCAGGAGACTAGTAATGCCATCTCTCAGTGTGAAATTAAACTGGTCTCTTACGTGCTCCCACACACGTTAATATACAAGATAAAGACATGCGTTAAGATAAATGTAGCGGGTTTTTTTTTTCTGGGGAAACATATGTACGACGTAGTTAGTGAATTCCCATTAAGGAAGTCTTGAAGCAAGGAATTACAACTATCCTGTTTCCTGACTCCTGATTATTTCCTATTTCTCAAGCACCGTGTGACCTCTACTGGCTCAGTTGTTCCACTTGAATAAAATTATAATAATATAGTTGAAAAACAATTAAGTATGCATATATGGCACTGAATTTCTGTTGATTAATTTCATTTCAGCTTACTCTCGCTACAGACCTTGCTTACTGATGTTTATCAGGCCAGGTGCTGCTTCCCACCGAGATAATAAGCACCATTTGTTAATGATTAAAAAAATATGTAACTAAATGAAGTACTGCCATGGATAGTGAAGAAAAGACACGTCATTGAGCAAACATTTGTTAGCACAACGTTTCGCTGTTAAGATCTATATGAAGTTAAGATCAACATCTTTGTTATGATTTGATAAAGATCGAAAAATTGCCCCAATAAAAGTTTATTCTGGATGTCTTGACCTATAGATTAAACTCTAATAAACATGATTTTAGGGTTGGCCAAAAACCTATTAATTACAACAGCCTTGCTGCCCCATCATGGCAATAGGACCAAATGGCTTTTCTTGAGCGACTACAGGACCTCTTCCTCAACATGTTCCATAAAGAAAACTGCGACTACTGTAGTCTACACTGTCTTATGGAACAACACCGCCTGAGACACTTCATCGCCTGCTGTGAAAGGAAAACGCAGAAAAATCTATGTAACACCAGAAAGAGAGAGATTCCACCATTAACAGACATATAGTCCTCCCGGTTAACAAAACCACTAATAACCTTGCCAACACATCAACCAAAACTAACACCATAGTTGCAAACACAGCCTCTACCACCAACGAGAAAAATGTCAGCGGACACCATTGTTAGGTGTTTACATCATGCCTGGCTGTGAGGACTTCTACATAAGGAAGACTTCCAGCAACTTTAAAAAATTACATTAACGACCGTCCTGCCAGGTATAAGAAACTCAGCAGTCTGGACGTCACCTCGTTATTTACAAAAGTCATCCCACTACGCGGGCCATCAACTGTCTCCTACGCAAAGTTCAATACGACGTCATTCAACCTGTTCCTCCTAACTACTTTGTCAATGTATAAAAGACGCACTTATGTATCGTGAGGCAATTTTATACTTGGTCGATTGCACTGATCTTTGCTTTAATTTTAGTTGTTTCTTTTTCAATAACAGCCTTTTCCAGCAAACACGTGTGATAAAACACGTGTGTCCCACCAGCAGTGTTAGAAAATTGGTGCATTCAACACTTACAAGCTGGACTACAGCTGGCTCAGGTGGGCTTCAGCTGGCTGGGTTTTTTTTTTTTTTGGCGAGGGTGAATATAAATGAAGATCCTGGTAAAATTATGTAATTAGAAATGTATCACACTCTATGATTGTTTATTATTGCTTAATTCTGTTTGCCAGAAAATTTCAGTTTGCCGCTGTCAGAAATGACCAAATTCTTTGCAGTGTTATCTGCCACAGTTGTTGTTCTCTCACCAACAATATATTATACACTTGCTACATACCCGTCGCCAAGATAAATAACATTTACGCAATAAACTGATAAAATTGTCGCAATTGGACTGGTTAATTCTCTACACTGGGGTTAATAGGGTACAAATAAAGCTACGAAAGCATGCCTCGTGAGTGTATATATACTTGTACATGCTGGGGTTGGATTAAATATTATGAAAATCTGCTTATTGAAGTGTCGAACTGTATTATGGAGCATCTGTGGGGTCAGAACAATAAGTCAAGCACCAGTTTCCTCCACCGTTGTCTTTGGAAGAGTTAGAGCAGTGTTTTGCTTGAGGAATGGCTCAAATTCCCCTGAATACTGTTCATATGCCATATGAATCAAGTCCTCGACGAATTGGTGCTGTTTTAGGTGCAAATTGAGGACCAAGACCAACTCTAAAATGAAAAAAAAAGTTACATAAGGTGTTCATATTTTTTTTTCCAACACCTGTTCTTGATCCTAGGAATTCTTTAATTCCTAGGATCAAGAAAGCAGACGAGTTCTTGATCCTAGGAATTAAGACTCTTTGGATCGAACATGTATACCTCCCATTTCCCAGGTGCTGTATGACCCCGATAGGTTTAGCGCTTCACCATGAATGGTTTTTATAATTTAAACCACAATAAAGACAATAAGAACCAAACAGTTCTTGGCTCACACATACGAACCAAACAGTTCTTGGTTCACACATACGAACCAAACAGTTCTTGGTTCACACATACGAACCAAACAGTTCTTGGTTCACACATACGAACCAACAGTTCTTGGCTCACACATACGAACCAAACAGTTATTGGTTCACACATACGAACCAAGCAGTTCTTGGCTCACACATACGAACCAAACAGTTCTTGGTTCACACATACGAACCAACCAGTTCTTGGCTCACACATACGAACCAAACAGTGCTTGGCTCACTTATACGAAGCGAATGGGTTCCACACTAGATACCCCTCAAGGAAGGTTCCTTGATGTTGGTGAGGGGCTCTTGATTTAGGGAATTGGATCTGTGCTCCAGTTCCCCGAATTAAGCCTGAATGCCTTCCACATCCCCCCCCCCAGGCGCTGTATAATCCTCCGGGTTTAGCGTTTCCCCTTGATTATAATAATAATAATAATCCACACTAGATATATACTGTGTTTCAATCTGATTTCCGATAAACCATTGATTGAAAGCAACATTATAGATCCATATCTGCTTATGTATGAGCAAACCATACATTTAATGGAAATGATGGAGTGTATACACTCAATGTATTCATAACTGATATTACAGTGGAAGCTTGATATTACAGTAGAAACTTGATATTACAATGGAAGCTTGATATTACAGTGAAAACTTGATATTACAGTGAAAGTCTGATATTACAGTGGAAACTTGATATTACAGGCGAATAAAACATCTGGTTGATAAATTTTACTCTACCCAGAACTTCAATAATATACATAAACAAGCTCAATATAAACTCCTATTGTATTCATCCATAAAGTAACTCCATGTTCATGAACATATGTTGTATCTACCACAAACTGAACCTTATGCTTTTACTTTATAGCAAATAATATTATGAACAATTTATATAACATATTGTGTCATTAAAGAAAAAAAAGATGGCTATGAAGATAAGTTATATTTTTTTACTATGAATTGAGTGGGAATGAACACTGGTCGGGGGATACACAATAACCTAAGATGGGATCAAACACTCTATCACTACTACAAGTACTCGCCTCCACCACTGAACCTATGTTGTTAGCTGAACATTTGTAGTACTGGGGATCACATCTGTTAGTACATTTGGGGAAATTTCCTATACGTTCACACCTGAATGTTTCAGTACACTGTGGAGGTTCTGTGGTAGTTGTTGGTGTTGTAGTAGTTGTAGGGGTTGTTGTAGTTGTAGGGGTTGTTGTAGTTGTCGTAGGGGTTGTAATAGTTGTCGTAGGGGTTGTAGTAGTCGTAGGGGTTGTAGTAGTCGTAGGGGTTGTAGTAGTCGTAGGGGTTGTTGTAGGAGTTGTTATTAGGGGTTGTAGTAGTTGTCGTAGGGGTTGTAGTAGTTGTCGTAGGGTGTGTTGTAATAGTTGTCGTAGGGGTTGTAGTAGTCGTAGGGGTTGTAGTAGTCGTAGGGGTTGTAGTAGTCGTAGGGGTTGTAGTAGTCGTAGGGGTTGTTGTAGGAGTTGTTATAGGGGTTGTAGTAGTTGTCGTAGGGGTTGTTGTAGTAGTTGTAGGGGTTGTTGTAGTTGTAGGGTTGTTGTAGTTGTAGTAGTTGTCGTAGGGGCTGTTGTAGGGGTTGTAGTAGTTGTCGTAGGGGTTGTTGTAGGGGTTGTAGTAGTTGTAGGGGTTGTAGTAGTTGTAGGGGTTGTTGTAGTTGTAGGGGTTGTTGTAGTAGTTGTTGTAGGGGTTGTTGTAGTGGTTGTTGTAGGTGTAGTTGTAGGGGTAGTTGTTGTTGGGGTAAAAGTTGACCCGGTGTCTACATCTTTACAAGGTTCATAACACGCTGCATCTTTTGAGCATATTCCCTTATCTTCATCAAAATTACCCTCATCACAGTGATATAAACTGGTTTCCTTGGGATAATCCTTCCTTTCACAGAAGTAGAAGTTAGTACAGTCGGTTGGGTCAGGAATCTGTGTGTAGGGTTCTGAGCAGAAAGGTATACATGGATCACAACACTGAGACTCATCCGTAGTGCATTCCGTGCCATTAAAATATGGAGCACTATCACTACACTTGCTAGGTACTGGTCCATTATTTGGAACACATATCTGAATGCTGCCGCAATCGCTACGATCTGCAACTAATTCGACTTGGGTAATGTCTGCTGGACATGAAAATTTGCATGGTGGATCACATACGTCACACCTCCCATCATCTGCACATGTTTTATTTGCAGCATCAAATATTTGCCCTTCGGAACATTCTACTGTAAAATCAGATACTTTTTCATCCACTAAACAAATATAATAATTACGGCAGCTTTTTGGATCAGCGATCTTTATTCCTGGTGAAATACCAACACATGAAGGAGTACAGCTAATCTCCTCAGAGACACACTCCCACACACTCTGCAAGAGAACAATGAATAAGTTTTCAAAAACGCGTAAATGGTAAATAATAAACATTCTTAATGTTATAATCACCTAGAAGGCATTTATTATTTTTCTAAAATCAGCAACGGAAAATATTGATAAAATATGCAAGCTATGGAAGGTAATGTTAATTAGGCTTCCGACAAGGAAACCCTATAGTGACTGACAAATATTTTCTTCTCCAGTGGTTTTTCGCTCATATCTTTAGAACGTCTTGTCTAATCTGCTTCATATTTTCATCGCTCATATACGGCATCAAGGATGATGTTTATGTTGTTACTGGTATGTGGAAATGCCCTGTCGTCAGTTTTATAAACCAAGAAGTGGTTTTGGTTTCCGTGTGATAATTTGAAAGCCCCTCTTAAGATCAGCTTAAAACTATCCAAACTATCTTGCATAGAAGTAGGTTCAACTGGTATTGAAGTGTGTAGTTGCTAGTTTGTAAATATAATTGAAGGGTATTTTGTCCGTGAGATAATTTAAGAATAACTCTTCATGGTGTTTTTAATTTTCACAAATTTAGTGAACACTTAAATATTTTTTCGTGCTGCTTTAATTGGAAAGCCGGCCATAAACTCGGGTATAATTTTGTTCCTACAATAACTTGACACCGATTCCCCAGATAGGCTTTAAATTTACGGCAGTGGCGTATCTTGGAGTATGATTTGGGTCATTACTGTGATGTGTAGGTACGAATTTGCCAATTTTCACGTACAAATACTGCAGTGATTTCCGTTAGATAACTTCAGGATAGCCTATTCTGATCATCAGGCTTTCAACATTTGAACTACTCATAAGGATCTAATTGTTATTGTAATGTACAGAAACCAATTTGCAAAATTTATGTAAAATAATGTTGGGTATTTTTTTGTACGATTACTCGAGAGCACAAACTCTGTAAGTATTTTAATTTTGTATCGTTATCGGGCTGTGTAAGCCCTAATTTGCCAATTATATTAGACATCAGTGGTGCAGTGGACAGTGTATGAGACTGGAAAAACACAAGTTACCTAGTTTGACCTCCAGCAGGTTTTATGCTTCTTTGGAGAACTGAATCATGGCCCCTTTGAGGGGGCCTTGATAACAGCGAAGATTTCCTAATCCAGGGAATTAGAGGTATCCTCTTCCTTCGATCAAATCTGATTTCCTCCAACTCTTTCGGCTCTGTATGACCCTGATGGGTTTAGCGGTTCCCTTTAAAAATAATAAATATCTAAATCATCAGTCAGGATTCTTTAATGCTCAGAATTTTATATTCACGATTAAGATATTTCTTCGTGAAATGACAAGAGGGTGCAACCACAAATAGGCGAGTCGGGAAATTTCAGTGGCGAGGCTGTCTAGCCAGCACAGTGGACCTGACACTTCCTTAACCTTCACAGGGTTCATAACATGGTGCAATTTCTGAGCATAGTCTCCTCGCTTTATCAAAATTACTTAAAGGAGTGGTGGGAATATGTTGCAGTTTTTGAACTGTAGTATATTAGCGCGTCTATGGCAAGAAAGTGATGGAGTGAGTGATGATGAACGTGTTTCTTTTATTTCGGGTCACCCTCTCTCTGTGGGAAACGGCCGATGTGTTAAAAAAATAATATTTATAACAGCAAAAAACGATAGGCGAATGAAAATTTTGCATCGCCACTAAAGATTGATATAAATGGAAAAATATTCTGATTCATATAAATAACATAGCTGGTTAACAATTAACAATGTGCTTTCAGAGATACATAATATTTCACGTGTTTATGAAAGCCGTCTACATCGCCGGTATGTTATACTAGGTTAATATTAATCAGTAGAAAATGTTGATATTACACTAGAAGGTTAATACTACAGTAAAATGTTAATATCGTAGGTAACATTACAGGAGAATAAAACATTTATGTTTACTAAGTTCAGCTTTTACTGGAGTGTTGCAATATCATCTTTTACAAATTATTAACAACAAACTTTCTATATAACCTTATTTCATTTATCCATGATGTTAAACTCGTGCTCAAGTTCTATATTGTCACTTAAGCACTGTGTAAATTTTGTTGATAAATAGCACTGTGTAAATTTTGTTGATAAATATAAGACAAATTCTTTTGCAAACAAACATCTTTCATGACAAACTTTCCTCCGGGACTGATGGATACACAATAACCGTAGACAGGAACACATAACCACTGCATGTGTTCGTCTCAACTACAAAACCTATATTAGGTGAACATGTGTAGTAATAGTGAAGATAATACTTGTTACTACACTTGGGGAAGTTGTCCCACTTGTTCACAATTATTGCAACACTCTGGGGAACTTTAGTGTTGGAGATATCTAGGTGGAAGTAGTTGATCTTATACTTCCTTTATTTACCTTTACAAGGTTCGTTACAGGCTGCATCTTTTGAGCATATTCCCTTATCTTCATCAAAATTACCCTCATCACAGTGATATAAACTGGTTTCCTTGGGATATTCCTTCCTTTCACAGAAGTAGAAGTTAGTACAGTCGGTTGGGTCAGGAATCTGTGTGTAGGGTTCTGAGCAGAAAGGTATACATGGATCACAACACTGAGACTCATCCGTACTGCATTCCGTGCCATTAAAATATGGAGCACTATCACTACACTTGCTAGGTACTGGTCCATTATTTGGAACACATATCTGAATGCTGCCACAATCGCTACGATCTGCAACTAATTCGACGTCAGTAATGTTTGCTGGACATGAAAATTTGCATGGTGGATCACATACATCACACCTCCCATCATCTGCACATGTTTTATTTGCAGCATCAAATATTTGTCCTTCGGAACATTCTACTGTAAAATCAGATACTTTCTCATCCACTAAACAAATATAATAATTTCGGCAGCTTTTTGGATCAGCGATCTTTACTCCTGGTGAAATACCAACACATGATGGAGTACAGCTAATCTGTTCAGCCTCGAGTCTTAACCACAAACCCTGTAAAAGAATAAATTTTTTAACCTCAAAAAATATGATTTATAAGCAAAAATGATATAATTTTCATAATAGCATAATGAGCCTTTACCAAAGAAATAATGTTAGTGTACCAAGAAACAATGGAAGGTATTCTTGATATCAACCTGAGAAAGACAATGTTAATGCTATCTGATGTTATAATACTATATCTGAAAGAGGCTGTGTGAGGACGTGAAAGAAAAAAAAACTCGACTCACGAATTCGTAGTGACACGCTTGCATTGTACGACTTTATTATAATAACATTGTGCTCAAGGAAAGTTTTATCAAATGACACATAAGTCATATATGTTACTCGTAGTACACTAGTTGCGGGGGTAAAATGACATCAGCACCTGAGCAAATATTGTGACAGTATCTTGTAGGGTAACCATATTAATCAATTTTGTCTTTTTTTTCCAAATTTATGCTATTACCGTAAGTCCGTTTTACGAAATATACAATCTCAGCTTCCATTACTGTTTTATTGTCTACCGTGTCCGTAATTTAGGATGTGGAGTGATATTCAATGTTCACTCAGACATCACAAAATATAAAAAGAGCTATTACGAGTACTTGCTGGTGATGGCTTTTAATTTTCTTATTTTTGAATTGCACAGTGGCTGGGTATTTGTGGTGAAGCATGAAAACTATAATTTGCTGTGCTTCATTATATTAAACATATGTTAAAAATACTACAGTACATATTATTAGTACGTACCTGTTCATACCTGTCGATGACCACTTCCTGTCTTGTACACAACAGCTGCTCCAGCCTTGGTGGAGTGAGGGGGTCGTCTGGCTCTTTCCCTGCCTTGAACATCGGTGACAAATTTCCAAAGTTTTTTTCTTGGACGTTTGTCCTTATACACTGCCCTCTGCTGGTCAATTAGTCAGGACGCTATACTTGAGCTCTTACAAGCTTGGGGAAGCCTGTTGCCGGGGTAGGGATGTGTGGGGTTCTGCTCTCTGGCAACTGCCAAGTGAACCCTCTGCCGGGGTTCAGGCAAGGGGTTCGCCTGACAAAATTGGGAACATTTTGCTCCAGTCTCCTTTTTTATTTGGGAAATTTGTTCCCTCTCCGTTATCTGCCCAGATTTAGGCAATATATTCATCAGACTTCTTGGGGCAAGGGTAATACTGCACAAACTGTCGTAGCCCGTTATACAGTAACTACAGATAACAGCAATATTGACAGTCTGCCTGCTTACTAGTTATAAATTATCCCCTAAATATAGCTAAGAATTAAAGTGAACTTTGAGGGTATAAACACCGTATGATACACAACTCGGCGTATATGTACGCGGGTGGTGGTGGTGGGCAAGAAGGAACTAGACTGAAAAAATAGACATGTGCACATGGAGGAACTAGACTGCTTTGATACAGAGTAACTATCTGAATAACAATAAACTTGATGAACAAGGCCTCGTAACTCCTCAGGTGCATGGCTGTCTTAATTAAACCATACATCTAACCGGCGTGTCTAGTGAACACACTGTGGTGAACGGCAGCTGGCGCAACATACTGTGGTGAACGGCAGCTGGCTCAACATACTGTGGTGAATGGCAGCTGGCTCAATACACTGTAGTGAACTGAACACATTTGCATAAATGTACTTACCAGAAAGAGGAGGCAAGAGAGGAGTAGTGTTGACATCTTTCAAGGCGAAGGTGAACTGATGCTTAACATTCTCCCACACTCACTTATATGACTGAGAAAGATATGCTTTTAGATAAACAGAAAACAGATTGCTAGGTGGACATTATAGTTTCAGGGACATGTTAAGATAAGATAAGATTTCGTTCGGATTTTTAACCCCGTAGGGTTAGCCACCCAGGATAACCCAAGAAAGTCTGTGCGTCATCGAGGACTGTCTAACTTATTTCCATTGGGGTCCTTAATCTTGTCCCCCAGGATGCGACCCACACCAGTCGACTAACACCCAGGTACCTATTTGCTGCTAGGTGAACAGGACAACAGGTGTAAGGAAACGTGTCGAAATGTTTCCACCCGCCGGGAATCGAACCCGGGTCCTCCGTGTGTGAAGCGGAAGCTTTAGCCACCAGGCCAGTTGTTGATACTTTCAGGGACACGTTCATGCGGCCTTCAGGTGTTGATAGTTTCAGGGACACCTTGATGCGGCCTTCAGTTGTTGAGAGGTCAGCGCTAGGGGTCAAATCCTGGTATTGTGTTTTTTTTTTGTTTTTTTTTTTTGGTGTCTATCCAAAACTGTTGGTGAAATAGATTTTACCAGAAGGAAGCCCTTTGTTTTGTGTAAATATACGAATGACGTGAATGACTGCAGATTGTAGACTAAATATGTTTGCTTCCATTTCAAGTTTTATGGTGCATCACACGTATAGTCCGGCTGTCCTCTAATCCGCAGGCATGTTTATGTTTATGTATATCTGTTTCTAAATCTCCGAATATTTCACCTATATATTCAGAATCGCATCCTCCACATGGAATGCTGTAAATGTGCTCCTAATGAGGCTGAATTCCTTAAGTCTTCATGCTGAGGACTGCCATATTCAGGTCAAGCATTAAGAGCAGAAATATGTTTGAAGTTGCTGTTTGTATAGCGGGAGAATAAAAAATGATGATAATATCTTTATTTCTACAAGTACATATACAAGGCATACAGACCATAGCTGACATCAGTGACATACTACTATATAGAAAGCCCCTTGTTATACAGAACATTTCGGGCAAATTAGGTCAGTTTTGTCCCAGGACGCGACTCACACCAGTCGACTAACACCCATTTTTTACTGATGGGTGAAAATAGACAACCAATGTAAAGAAACACGCCCAATGTTTCAACCCTCGCAGGGAACAGAACACAAATAATCACCGTGTAAAGCGAGAGCTTTTGCCACCAGGCCATCGGCGATCAGTAGTGGTAGTGTCTTTGGGATTAGTGAAAGAAATAAGAAATCTGTTCCTGCAGTAGAGGATGATATGTGTGAGAAACATCGACGGAGAAAAAGGATCTCTTTATGTAGTTTTGTTCTCCAAGAAAACACTCTGCTAGAGATCTCCGAGAACACTTTGAAATAAACGTGTGACTCCACCTTTTTTTTGTGGTCATGGTGAGAGCAGTAGTGGATTAAGTCGTAATTACTGGTAGATTATCTGTATACTTTATAATAAGGGCATCATTCTTCCCCATGAAGAGAATATCCAGAAAAGTACTAAGTCGTCTCGTTCTTCCAGTGTGAAATGAATAGAAGGTTCGTCACACTTGAGTTGGTTATGCAAACTATGATAGTTGAAACGTCCTGGAACGATGACCGAGACATCGTCGACATATGGAACGATGACCACGACATCGACATATGGAACGATGACCGAGACATCGTCGACATACCGAACGATGACCGAGACATCGTCGACATACCGAACGATGACCGAGACATCGTCGACATACCGAATGATGACCAAGACATCATCGACATACCGAACGATGACCGAGACATCGTCGACATACCGAACGATGACCGAGACATCGTCGACATACCTAAGCCATGTAATGTGTGCAATGATGGTGGTGAATGGGTCTCACGATGTTACAGGTCAAGGTTTGCCAATACTTTATTCGAACTTAAAATCATTATTCCAGACCTTCCGTATTTCTGTGATCTACCAAAGAACCATAAAGACAATATAACTTTAGATCTAATAATCTGTTGTAAACGAACATTGTTATTACTGTTTGACAATAAATGGCTAAGTAGTCTTTTATCACCTTTTTCTAGATACTTTTTCAACAGTGCACATAAGACATCACGAAGATTTTATAAATAAATTTAAATGTTTGAAGCTACATAATAAAACTTTCATGTTTGGATTAAGATTCCCTAGTCACTCGAGTCCCAGTTGAATTTCATCTCAACTCCAATTTTTCCATAAAAAAAAATTACCTCACTAACCAAACTTAGTGTCATTACGTATGACTTTTTCTTTTAATAGTGAATTTTATGAAGGGTAATATATGATCGTATTATGGTGAAATCCATCTCCCATCTCTCCAACTTAAAAATGAAAAATTTTAAATTTCAGCTGCCTCCTCCCATGACATCAAGAATTTCAGCTGCCTCCTCCCATGACATCAAGAATTTCAGCTGCCTCCTCCCATGACATCAAGAATTTCAGCTGCCTCCTCCCATGACATCAAGAATTTCAGCTGCCTCCTCCCATGACATCAAGAATTTCAGCTGCCTCCTCCCATGACATCAAGAATTTCAGCTGCCTCCTCCCATGACATCAAGAATTTCAACTGCCTCCTCCCATGACATCAGGAATTTCAACTGCCTCCTCCCATGACATCAGGAGACGATCTGGCACAGGTATGTACATTATATTTTCACTTGGAAACATAAACACATATGCAGTTTAATGTGATCCTTTATTGACAACGTTTTCCCCACACAGTGGGCTTTTTCAAGTCACAAACAGATCTACCTGGGGTGGAAGGTACGTGAGTATTTATAGTCAGGTTCAGAATGTTGAGGTCAGGTGGAGAATGCTGCATCTGATGATCTACCGGGTGGGGTTATAGAGTCTAAAATCTTGGGTAGCTTGGCAGGGGTATTGGACAAGTTGTGAGCAGACCTTCTGCAGTATTCTATGTTCTTATGTGGGATAGCGATGAAGAAGTTTCTTGGCAAGTGGTTCAGCTATGTTATAGAAGCCATTGTTCTGGTTGAAATTGTTGGTTATAGAGATAAGCGATGATTCTAGGATTCTTCGGTATTGAGTGTTGTCTTCTGTGGCGATAAGTCTTGAGTTTCTGTAGTTAATTAAATGGTTGTGTGAATTGCGATGTTGTACACAGGTATTCCTTGTATCGTCAGTCCTGCTTGCGTATTGGTGTTCTGAAATACGTGTTTGGAGGTCTCTTGATGTTTCGCCCACGTATAATTTGTTGCAGGCATTACAAGGGATTATGTATACCCTGTGACTTGTGAGTTCATTACCTTTGTACCTAGTTCAGCTATCAAAACTCTGGGGCCCAGTCCCTGGACCCATTACATACCTCTGTAATCTGTAAATACCTTTGTAACTTGTCATAATTGTGACTAGACCTACCTGGAGTTCATTACCTTTGTAAATTGTGAGTTCATTACCTTTGTAAATTGTGAGTTCATTACCTCTGTAACTTGCTCAGCTATCAAAACTTTGGAGTCCAGTCCCTGGACCAATTATGTACCTCTGTAATCTTTTGACTACCGCCCACAGGATGGGTATGGGGTGCATAATAAACATATTAAACTAACTAACCCTGCAGAGGATGCAAGCTTGTCCTGTCTACTACTGGTGATGTCCTTGATGGTCGTGGTTGTGGAGGTAGATACTTGGAATGATGTATTGGAAAAGATGTTGGAAACATGTTTGGCAATGGAGTTGGTGGGGAGGACTATGTATCTCTTCTCGGCAGTGTCTTCTCTGGGTGTGTTGAAGATGTTTAATGCCCGCCGTCTGCAGTCTCTGATGAAGTGACGAGGATAGTGGAGTTTAGAAAATACTTGTTCAATTATAGTGCATTCTTCCTCAAGGAACTCATTGCTGCAGATTCTGAGTGCGCGCAGGAAGAAGCCTTTAATTACACCACGTTTAGTTTTGGTGTCATGGTGAGAGTAGAAGTGAAGAAGATCGTTTTGGTTGGTTGGTTTTCGATAGACTTTAAAACGAAGTTCATGGTCAGTTTTGCAGAGAAGAACATCAAGGAAAGGAAAAGTGTTGTCGACTTCTTCTTCAATTGTGAACTGGATTGAGGACTCGATCTGGTTGAGCTTGTCTTGGAGAGCTTGAACGTTGAAGCACCTGGGAGTTATGAGGAGAATGTCGTCAACATAACGGAGCCAGGTGACAGTCGAAGGAATAATGGTGGAGAAACGCTCGGCTTCCAGATGTTCCATGTATAAGTTCGCCAGGACGGCACTGAGTGGCGAGCCCATGGGTAGACCAAAAGTCTGTTGAAAGAGGTGATTTTCGAAAGAGAAACACGTAAAGCCGACACATAGTTCAACGAGGTCGATGAAATCGCTGGCTGGAATAGGAAGATCAAGTGAATCGTCAAATTTTCTGCGCAGGAGATCGATGGCTTGTGTAGTAGGTACTTTGGTGAATAGGGAAGTTACGTCAAGGCTGGAAAGTTTCTTGTTCCCGATGTTGATGTTGCGAATGCGATTGAGAAGATCACCCGAGTGTTTGAGATGTGCTGGACTGATAGTGCCCAAGAGTTTGGAGAGGTGTTTTGCGGGAATTCCTGAGAGTTGGTGGGGAGCACTGCCTATTCCCGAAGATATGGGCCTCAATGGGATACCAGGCTTGTGAGTTTTTGGTAGGCCGTACATTCTGGCAGGTCTAGGTTTGCAGGGTATGGTGTGCGGAAGTTTCTTCCTTTGTTCTGAGTTCCTCAGAATGCGGCGAGTCTTTTGAAGAAAAGTTTTAGTAAGGTTGTCCACTTGGTTAGTTGTGAGGGGTTTATAGGTATCCGGGTCATTAAGTAGATTGAGCATTTTGTTCCTGTAGTCGTCAGTGTTCATGATAACAACACCACCTCCTTTATCAGCGGTGGTGACCCTGATGGTCCTGTCTTCTGCAATGATGTATCGTCGAGGTATGACTGGGGAGCTGCGTGTAGAGATGGCTGCTGAGATGATGCCCTGAAGAACAAGAAAACTTTCCAGCCTTGACGTAACTTCCCTATTCACCAAAGTACCTAC